TGCCTACGGTTCTGCAAGCAGCTCAGACATACATTCACACAAAACTCTGCATAGATCCGAATAGTTATCCAAAATCTTCATTTAAACAAGTGAGAGGGAAGAATAACATTTGACATCCTTCAAATCCCTTGTCAAAACCCAACTTCCCCCAAAGTCTTTGGCTCAGACCTGAATTTGTCAAATAGGTGAGATGGGCCAGAGTGGACAGAAACTCAGTCTGGATCCACTGGGTGATTTACAGTAGATCAGCAAACATTTCGACTCCTAATTCTTTAATAACAGGAGCAACAAAATTAACACCGCCACCTCCCTGCCTCTTATAATTATGCTGCTGAACAAAAGAAAGTTGAGTGTCTTCTTTCTGGTTGGAAATGCTTGTTCCTATTAGTAGCCTGACCACTGTAGCTGATGCGTTGCTAACCTCAGGGCTGGATTGTTGCAATGCGCTCTGTGCGGGGCTGCCCTTGAGTCTGGCTTGCTAGCTCCAGCAGGTGCAGAATGCGGCAGCCAAACTGCTGTTGGGGTCACATGGCTGATAACACGTGACACCATTGTGAAAACACCTGCACTGGCTACTACATCTACGACCAAGCTAGGTTCAAGGGCCTTGTATTAATTTACAAAGCCCTGAACAGCTTAGGCCCAGGGTACTTTAGGAACAGCCTGATCCCTTATATCCCTGCTCAGTCTCTGAGATCATCTGCAGGAGCATTGCTGATCGTTTCCCAAGTTGGTGCGGCTCATCGGATAGCAAGAAGATGCCAAGCTTTTAGTGTCATCAGCCCAGCCCTGTGGAATGCTCTGCCAACAGAAAATTCGACAGGAACTTTCTGCTTTAACCTTCAAACACCTGTTGAAAACTTTTCTGCGTCACCAAACTGATAGGGAGTGGGGAAATGAGCAGACTTCAGAGTTAAGCATCTCGTCTCCATGGATGCTTCTGAAAACACAAGCACACACACAGCACAAAACAAAAACTGTACTGGGGTTTCATTAGATGTATTTGGGTGTGACATGAAGTTTGCCCCTGAAAAGACGTTTGGGTTTTGTTATGTACTGAAGTTCTCACCCTGGGCCAGCAGCGGGATACTGTAGATAGTTATGCAAATGAAGGATCGAAAGTTACATTCAGTGATTGGATAGTTTTAGAAAGTTGCTACAGTAACATTGTACTGGAGCTCTATATAAGCAGGCTGACTGAGCCCTTCAGCTCAGTTCAGTTCTAGCCTCTGAATAAACAAGAGCTGTTTGAAGAATCGCTGTGTTGTCTGATATGTTCACCCACAACTTAACAGGTTTCCTTAAGCCAGCCACTCTCTCCCTTTCTTTTTCTCTGCCTGTAGCCCACCTTGCAGTGTTGTTGTCAGAATAAAAAATATTAGCACAGGGAGGAGGAATAGGAAGCCCTGCTTATGTTTCCGTGAGCTACTTGCACAGGAGAGGATAAGTACTCCAACCGCTTTAATAATATTCTCAAAATTTTGTAAGCTGCACTAGCTCCCGGGGGGGGGGGGACACTGCCTAGTTTTCTGACACTGCAAATGCTTATTCAAAAATAAATGGTTCCCCCTTAAGAGCCCAAGGTTTCAGGTTGTTTTCTTACTAAAGTAAGCTAAGCAGTAGTCATGCGTATCCCATAATTAGTAAGGTGGGGTGGGGACAGGGGGACAAGCATCTCTCTTATTATTCATTGGCAAAGGAAGGGCATGTCAGACAAAAATCCCATATAAGCCCCTAGCTGGCAGGCGGGCTGCTGGAAGGGGGTGGAATGTAGCAACGAAATTGCTGAGCATACTTTGAATTCCTCCTTCTGTCCATCTGTTCCTTTTATCTGGGGAAATCATGCATATGAGCCAAGCCCACGCTTTGGACGCAACTCTCTTTTATGGGGCGGGGTGGTCAAAGTTTTCTGAAATAGGACATTCTTTCTGAACAGGCTTTTTCATGGTGGAATTTTCCATGCTGCAGGTGAAATACTCTATCCAGGGACATCAGCTCCTGGGGGCCTGAGCTGTTTTGGGGGCCCTCAATATCTTTTGGGATGGGCCAAGCCTTCCACCCCACCCCCCCAATGTTGAGGGGGGACAGGAGACTGAGCACAGAGCTGAGTGAAGAACTGAGCTGAGCACTGTGTGGCTCCAGTGGCTGACTCCTTCTACTCCTTCTCTTCCTCCTGCCTGTTAGGATATTGATGTTCCGTTCCACCTAAACAGATGTGTGGAGCTGCTGTATGTCACATGTCTGTTTACATTCCAGCACAGCTTGCTGGGAACTTCCATTTGTGTATTGCTTTTGCTTTGTGCTTCCTGCTGCTTGGACACGAAGGGGAGCAGACATGTTTTTCCTTTGTCCTGATGCTGAATAAAATGCTTGTAAATACGCTTTACATATGCCTCTGTCCGCCACTTCTGTTGCAAGATATTCACTCTGCCGCTTAAGGTGTGCTCAAGTTTCTAAAGGCTTCTTGAAATATACTCAGAGTCGAGAGTGGATTTCATGCTCTTTATTCTGCTCATAGTAGCTAGGAAAGTTTCCCCCAAACTGTCTGCTTTATATACATTATTTACACAATGGGCTGCACGTGATTGGTTAATTCCGGAATTCTCCTGTAGGCCAATCAGGTTGTGGATTCACTTCCATCTGGAGCTGAATTGGGTGGCTCCTGCAGACCAATCATACTGCTGCATTGTTCTAGGACCAATCAGACTGCTGCATTCTGAATCCTATTGTTCTAGGACCAATCAGACTGCTGCATTTTGGATCCTATTGTTCTAGGACCAACCAGACTGCTGCATTTTGGCTCCTATTCAACTCAGTACATAACACCCCTCTGGAGCTGTGTGCCGCTGTTTTGATGCTGTTCCAAGGGAGACCGGAGTTCGCCCGGCTGCTGGGCGGTAGGCTGGAGCCAGCTTGGGGCCTGCCTGATGCTGCCATTCCCTTGGACACATCCCAACACTGGCACCAGGCAGACGAGGAGCCACCAACCATTGAAGCCTCATGGTCTCCACATTTGGCTCCACCCCTGGCTCCTCCCAACATCACATGCACGACATTTCCCACTCCCCAATCGCTCTCTCCCTGACTCTCTCCCTCCTACCCCTTCTTCCTACAAAGGGCAGACCCACACCATGCATGGAGTGCATTCATTGCACATGTAAAGCACATGGCTTCCCCCAAAGAATTATGGGAGCTGTAGATTGCTAAGGGTGCTGAGAGTTTTTAGGAGACCCCCCCCCTTATTCCCCTCACATAGCTACAATGGCCGGGGTGGCTTAACAATAAATCCCTCTTTCCCAGGAAACTCTGGGTATCGTGACAATTGAAAGTGGTATCATAGTGCTTTGAACGTACTGGTGTGAGCGTGGCCCAATTTCCAGCCTCTGTTCTCAACTCAACTTCTAACTGCCTGTGCTTGTGGAAGCTCCAACTTGAATAAAATATTGTGGGGGCCAGGTAAGCCCCGCCCTGCATAATAGATCACATGACACAGCGCACACACACCATGGCAATGCCCATCAACTTTGTGGGGGCCCAGCAGCGCCTAGGAGTTGGCTCCTTCTTTGGCTCTGACTGCTTCTCTTCTAGTGTTGCTCCATAGCCAACGAAGCACCAACCTACCATTTTCCACCCCTGTCCCAAGTCTTCCGGCCCACTGCAGACCCCGGTGAGCTTTCTCGGTCATACCTTCCAATGAAAGCAACACAACGCAAGCTTGTTTGGTATCTAGCCTTTGAGGGCAGTCCAGCTGAAGCTTAAAAGTTCTGAAGGTGACAAGCTTCTGCATGCTAACTTGAAGAATTCAAAGGGAAGCACACCCCAGATGCACATACTCAGATGAAAATTTCAGTGAAGCAAGGATTGCATTGCAGCCTAAATGTACTTTCAAATTAGGGCCGGAATGCATTCTACGGGTCCATCCTATGCAGACCTACCAGGAAGCAGGACTCTTACAATTGGGTGGGACTTATTTCTGTGTGAACTTTTCAGCTGCATTTCCCAGATGCGTTACAAGGCTGGATCTGGAAAAGGAAGTAACCAGCTGCTCATTCTTCGTCTAACACGGATACGGAATACAGTGGTACCTTGGTTCTCAACCACCTTGGTCCTCAAACAACTTGGAACCCAAACACTGCAAACCCGGAAGTAAGTGTTCCAGTTTGCGAACTTTTTTCGGAAGCTAAACATGTTTCGTTTTGAGTGCCAAACTTCCATTTTGAGTATTCCGCTAAGGTCTGTCTGGTTTTGCTATTTATTTTGCGTTTTTGTTTTTGCGGCTCTTTTTGTTTTGTTTTTGTGACTGTGTAGAACCCAGTTCAGCTACTGATTGATTGATTGTGCTACTGCAGTTCATTGTTTATTGCTTTCATTTTATGGATCAATGGTCTCGTTATATAGTAACAGTCATGTTACTGGAATGGATTAATCCATTTTGCAATACTTTCTATGTCAGGCATCCCCGAACTCGGCCCTCCAGATGTTTTGGGACTACAACTCCCATCATCCCTAGCTAACAGGACCAGAGGTCAGAGATGATGGGAATTGTAGTCCCAAAACATCTGGAGGGCCGAGTTTGGGGGTGCCTGTTCTATGGGAAAGTGTGCCTTGGTTTTGGAATGGACTTCCAGAACAGATTAAGTTTGAGAACCAAGGTACCACTGTAAATACCTTGCAAATTAGTTTCTAGGTTGAAGTTTTTTGCTACCTGACATCTGGAAAGTGGTGTGGCTGGACTCCCTCCAACATAACCGAGTTGTTTGTAATCCAATTAACGCAGCGAGATTTCACAGGATATGCTAAGGCAATGCCTTTTGGCCTCCAAGGGGAAGCCAGCCAATTTAGCATGATTGCACAGCCTCATCAATATTGCTCTTTCATTCTATGGGAAACTTTGTTTGGAACCGCTTGTGAAGATGCCACAGTATCTGTTTAAACTTCTGCATGCTGTTATTTTAAAGAACACTCAGCTTTTATCAGGCCAAACAAATCGAGGGACGTACCTTGTGTGAGTAATGTTGGTCCACAACCCTAGCTAATCCAAAGTCACCGATCTTCAGCACCAGATCCTCTGTGTTGATGAAGATGTTGGCGGGCTTCAAGTCCCTATGCAAGACATTAGCTGAATGGATGTACTTCAGGCCTCTGAGCAACTGGTACATGAAGAGTTTGGCATGTTCCTCAGAGAGAGGTCCTTGCTCCAGAAGACGGGCCAGGTCCGTCTCCATGTATTCCTGGATGACGTACACCATGTTAAATTTGAACAGATCCCCTTGGAGATCAGCTCCTTTGGGCCCCAACACCTCGTAGACCTTTACGATGTTGTCGTGGTCCAGCCGGCGGATTATCTTGATCTCCCGGAAGGCGTGCTTCATGCTCTGAGCATCGCTCACCGCGATCTTCTTCACGGCCACCTTGCGGCAGCTCTTGCTGTCGACTGCTGAGAGGACAAGCCCGTTCACTCCAAAGCCCAGGGGCCTGAAGTTGATGAAACGGCAGCCCAGGTCATAGCCGTACACGCTCGCGATGTAATTGCACTTCTCCGCCATGGTGGGGTCAGATCCGCCTTTGTCTCTGCAAAGAAATGGCAGCGGAGGAGCCCAGCCTCCAAGTCACCAATACGGTTTAATAGAAAACAGTACATCGTTACCACGAATGAGAATCTGTGCAATTCCTTGCTTGGAGCCCATAATCGTACAGGAGAAGGTTTTCAAGTCAAATGTTCAGAGGTTAAAAAGAAAAATGGACACAAGTACATAAAGTGGATTCAAGAATAGTCTTGGAAACAAGATTGCAAACTTTAAATATTGACTCTCTTCGGTTCGGGTAAGCATGTAGGGGAGAGTCGAAAAGTTGCCAATCTAGCAAATGGTTTTCGTTGCAATATGCTGATAAACTAATGGGCTCCAAGAGTTCTTAAATATCATCCTTCTTGTTTCGTTTTAAGTTGGAGAAAGTGAAGCTTCAACATATACATGCTTTTAATATTCAGTTGGCTACCTAAACATGGACCTTCAGAAAGAAAATGGTGGAGAGGTTCTCCAGAAACCTTTATTCTCCATGAAGTGGACTCAGCATTTTTTTTCTAGTTCTGCAAGGCTTTGGTGAATCTTCTGTCACACATTCTTAAACACAGGGTGGATTTTTCCATTTCGCCATCACAAGACCTGATAAAAGACAGAAGTGCTTTCCTCCCAGTGAATCTTGCTCCCCATCAACTGAGTGCCACAAAGAGCCATGCTCAGTTCTTCCCACATCCTTCCTTCATCACCATACAGTCTTCATCGTGTCTGTCAAATCCTCACTTGTTATAGCCCCTCCTCCTGCAAGTGAAAAATAGATAATGAAGTAGTTTGCTACTGCAGTTACTTTTATCCACACCCTACCATCTCGAAGGTTAACACACCTAAAGAAAATACAAATTTAGTTATGCAGGATTAGAAAATACATCATTACGGTCACCTAGGAGTGGGCAAATCTGTCAAATTGGGGTTTTCTCTTTCTCATTTTTCCAATCTTAAGTTCAATTCTCTTCATTTCCACATAGTTTGTGATGTTTTAAAAAGAGGTCCTCATTAAAATCCTGTGGTCCTCATTTTATCCTGTGAACCACTCTGAGACCTGTAGGTATAGGGTACATGGTGGTAAAAACATTTAATAAGTACTAATAATACTAATAATTAAAATTCATCAGCACTTTACTGCAAAATTCTCCTAATATACACATTTGTGTGCAATTTTCCTGATATACACATTTTTTGCAATGTAATGTATTTCTGTATGTTCCTTTCACTAGTATATATGCATCTAATGAAAAGAACATGCAAAAATGCATTGTATCAGTAACCTTGGCTGGAGAAATGATTTACAAAATTTGCAGAAGTGCAATTTTCGATGGGTAGCTACAGTATGTCTTGGTTTGCGAATTGGTTTGAAAAGTGAGAATTAGATACAGTGGTGCCTCGCAAGACGAAATTAATCCATTCCGTGAGTCTCTTTGTCTTGCGGTTTTTTCGTCTTGTGAAGCACAGCTATTAGCAGCTTAGCGGCTTAACGGCTATTAGCGGCTTAGCGGCTTAGCGGCTATTAGCGGCTTAGCGGCTATTAATGGCTTAGCGGCTTTAAGAAAAAGGAAACAAACTCTCAAGAACTCGCAAGACGTTTCGTCTTGCGAAGCAAGCCCATAGGGAAATTCGTCTTGCGGAACGACTCAAAAAACGGAAAACCCTTTCGTCTAGCGAGTTTTTCGTCTTGCGAGGCATTCGTCTTGCGGGGCACCACTGTAGGTTAGCTTTTAAACATGAACCGAATCATATTTCTCCCCCTTCCTAGGAAGGATCCTTTCTGTGCTGCTACTGATTGGATGCATGACTGCTGACCAAGGATAGGCTTTGTTTGGAAAGAGCTTCACAGTGGGGTAGAGGAACTGAATTGCTCTCCCATCTCTGGGGTCACCTCTATGTTCTATATCTCTTCTCCACTGGTATAGTGGTAAATTCTGAACAGCAGGTTTTCTGCATGAGAGCCGTGCTCCTGTAGACATGCCCACCAGGCTGCCAGTATTCTGTGGGAAATTTAGGTTGGTGTAATTCATGTAATTAAAGCAGATTAATAGTGTTCTGTTGCCCTAGTGCAACAAATCCACATTTTTTTTTAAAAAAAGAAATTTTTGCAGTTAGGAAAGTGACAATCAAATGCACTGAAAGGAGTGGAGATGAATTAACAATTAATGGGAAGATGCATAAACACCCCACAAGCAAATCAGAACAAATGCTGAATAATGACCACGTATAATTTAAGCATTGTACTTTGGAAAAGCACTTCCATCCGTATGTTGTTGTTTTTAATGTGTTTTTATTAAAGATTTTCTTGGTTTACAAAAGTATGTACAACCTCTCTCTCTTTTTTTCAAGTAACATTTTTTACAGATCAGTTTCATTTGTTGAGACATTAGGAAGAAAAGGGGGAAAGAGGTGGAGGGGGGAAGGTGAGTGGGGGTGAGGTGGGGTGGCGATGTTTCTATTTTACTTACTATATGTAGGGTTTTGTGTCAGCATCGCTTGTGCAGGTTCTCTGCTATTCGCTTGTGTTCCTTTGGTGGTGAGAGAGGTTGGGGTTGGCCTAGGGTGTGGTTGTTTATTTGTGATTGGCTGTGGTGATCTTTGTTTTCATGTGTGAGTGGGGTGGGTGGGTGTTTTGGATCAGGTTAGCCATATTGATTTGTATGCTGTTGGTAGATTTTTGTCATTGTCTTGTTGGGCTGTGTATGTGATAAAGGGGAGCCATACCGGGGTGAAGGCGTCTTCTTCTATTTGTCCCCGTGTCCGTTTCAGTTTATTGGTTTATTTTTCTAGTAAGGCTGTTTCCCATACTATTTGGTACTATTGGTCCGTGCTTACTCCTGACAGGTCTCTCCAGTGTCTGGTTATGATGTTTCTGGCTGCTGAAAGGAGGAGGGTTATGAGTTCTTTGTGGTGTAAATGGGCATTATTGTCTTGGAAGATGTTTAGTAGGGCCAAGATTTCTAATACTTGCTTAGTTATTTTACATATTTCTCATATGGCTGTTGTCCAGAATAGATGGGTTTTGGGAGACTCCCACCACATGTGGAGGTATGTGCCTGTGGAGGTGCACCCTCTCCAGTATTTTGGTGAGGTTCTTGGGCATATTAGCGCTAGTTTTCTTGGTGTTAGGTACCACCTGTAGCTGAGTTTCAAATCCGTATGTTTTGTTATTCAGATGGGCAACCAAGATGACAGTGGCGTAGCGTGGGTTGTCAGCACCCGGGGCAAGGCAAGTAATTTGCGCCCCCTAACCCGTGGATTTGCGCCCCCTAACCCGTGGATTTGCGCCCCCTAACCTGTGGATTTGCCCTAACCCCAGATGTTGCGCCCGGTGCGGCCGGCCCCCCCTGCACCCCCCACGCTACGCCACTGCAAGATGATCAGTGGTCTGGAAACCAAGCTTCATAAGGAATGGTTGAGGGAGCTGGGAAAACTCTCTGACATTAAGAGTGGTTTGACAGTGGACTGGACTCCCTCGGGTAGATGTGGACTCTCCTTCAATTGAGGTTTTTAAGCAGAGGTTGGAAGGCTTTAGTCGATGCTTTAGTTGAGATTCCTGCATATGCAACTCTACAATTCGATAATTCGATGATGAACCCAAAGACTATACAAAAGAAAGAAAGAACTTCTAACCAATGTATACACTATGTTTTCAATAACAAGCCCCGCCGCCGCACTGAAGGAGAAGCAAATTGTTATTTATTTAGTTTTTTATGGTTGTATTCTTACTGGCAGGGAAGGGGAGAGGAATCTGTGAGGTTTTCTGTGTTCAGGTGCCAAAATAATCTGATCTCTGCACCTTGACTTGGGAGGGGGGTTAATATTTGCTGCTTTACCTCAGCTAGCAAAATAGATTGGGTCTGCTCTGCATGGCTCTCTATGGCTCCCTCTGAACTGTGGAAATAAAAGAAAAGAAAGATAAGAAACTGCTTTACACCAAGCCAGACCACCTCAGTATTGTGTATAATGCCTGCTAGCATCTCTCCAGGTTTTTTTTCCCAGACATGGCTGTCTCTCTGGAGGACTGTGCTTGAGGTGAGGGGAATGAGCAATGAGAAGTAGGAGCATGTTAGGGAAAAGGAGGAGAAATCCACTTTCCCTCCCTATCAGCACCATAAAACTCAAAGGGACGGTAATGGTAAGATGTATTTGAAAGTCTCTGGATATTGTGCAAAGCTGTCTGTAAAACTTTAAGATTTAGGTATATTTAGGAGGGATGTGGGTGGCGCTGTGGGTTAAACCACAGAGCCTAGGGCTTGCCGATCAGAAGGTTAGCGGTTCGAATCCCCGTGACGGGGTGAGCTCCCGTTGTTCTGTCCCTGCTCCTGCCAACCTAGCAGTTCGAAAGCACGTCAAAGTGCAAGTAGATAAATAGGTACCGCTCCAGTGGGAAGGTAAAAGGTGTTTCTGTGCGCTGCTCTGGTTCAGCAGAAGCGTCTCAGTCATGCTGGCCACGTGACCCAGAAGCTGTACTTCAGCTCCCTCGGCCAATAAAGCGAGATGAGCGCTGCAACCCCAGAGTCTGTCACGACTGGACCTAATGGTCAGGGGCTCCTTTAACTTTACCTTTAGGAGGGTCTGGTGTTCCCTGTTTGTTCAGGTTGCACGAAGGTGTTTTTTTGTTTTTTAATTACACTAAATTAGAAACTGAGAGGCATTTCTTGCAGATTTTGGTGGAAAATTAAGCACCCTAAAGTTTTGTTCTAAAAATGTCAGCCACCTAGAATTAGACTCCGTTTAGGTGTCCTGTGCCAACAGCAGTTCTTCCTTCTCCCCAGATTACCAGGCGAGGCCTTGGATTTATCAAAATGAACCATGAAATGCCACCTCTCTTATTAAGGCTTCAATCCTGTGTTGGATATCGGCATGGCTAAGTCCCAAATCTACCCACAATATATATATATATATCCTTGCAGGACAGCAGGCTGATAAAACCTGACTTCAGGGCATCCCAGCCCAGTCCAGTTTCATAACAGAATCTTGTTATGAGAAAAAGTTGAAGCAAAAATGCAGGCGACATGAAGTGGAACGGAAGCAAAGCCTTGGGTTTTTTGGTGTGTGTTTTTACCATAGCTGAGCTGGAACAGGAGCTGAATTACAAAACATATCGATTCAAACGCCCGCATCTTGAAGTGTTTTCCCAAAGCTCAGCACCGCCAGGTCGCTCTGGCGTGTACTCCTCAAGTGAATGCAACTAGAAGTCTGCCTCTGATAATGATCTCTGCATTTCTGCAGCGCTGACTGATCGCGCAGGCTATGTTTAGCAACCCATTCCTGTGCCAAATGAACAGAGGCCAACTAGGGGGGTGAAAAATGCAACAGCTATTTCAGCAGGCCCCAGCAGAACTGTAAGAGAGACGGATGCTGGGCACTGTCGCCAGTTTTTAGGTGCCACACAAGCCCTTGCGCCAGGGGTGGTGAAGGTCAGGCCAAGGTGCTGCATGTGGCCCACCAAGGCTTTCTATCTGGCCCTTGAGACTCTCTTGAGGGCACACTGCCTACCCATGAGTGCCCCCTGCTGGTCCTCCTTCACACGCCCCTTGAGTGCTTCTGGCTGCCAGGATCACAGAATCATAGAATCATACAATTGTAGAGCAGGAAGGAATTTCAACTAAAGTATCCATGACAGATGACCATCTAACCTCTGCTTCTAAACCTCCAAAGGAGGAGAGTCCACAACCTCCTGAGGGAGACTGTTCCACTGTCAAACAGCTCTTACTGTCAGAAAGTTTTTTCCTGATGTTTAGTTGGAATCTCCT